TTTTTTTTTTTTTTTTTTTTTTTTACCATCCTTTGTTCTTCAAATCTGCAGCGAAGAACTGCCCCACGAAACCCATTCCGAGAATGAACATTCGATCATCCATTGAATGATCCCCTAGCTTTTTCGCGTTTGGAGGGAAACAACACGACGTGGCTGCTCGAAACGACGACGTTTGCTCGAACCGGCGTTTAATCGGCGGCCAATGACTCAGTACCCGGCAAGTCTCCATGTTAGATGACAATCTGTGAAGTGTTTGGGGGATGGTTTGGCAAGTATCAGAGCGGTCAGATCTAATGTTGAGACTATCCTCACTTGGTTAACAGGGGAACCGGTTGCCATAGTCCGGTCCGGCACTGGTTTTGGGCCTAACTGTGGGTCAAAATCACTCTGCTCAAACCTGAACAATGGTTCGGTGAACTAATGTGAAAAAAATATTATTGCACTCTCCGTTTAGCGTTCAAATTATATTTGGGGTTCCAATAATAATTATCGATTTATCTTCCCGTGTTTAGTATATAATATCCGTCGATTAATTTAAATACTGACACTATAATTAATTGACTTCTTGAACTGAGACTCTCAAAACTTTATTATAATGTCGGAATAAATTCCACCGGTCGGGTTTAATATAATATTTCTTCTTGAACTCATCTCAAAGACATCATCAGAATATCGCACACGGTGACTGTAAATATTTGAACAACACACTATACACACAACACTACTACCCATAAAATACTTTAACTCCAACAGAATGGATATCACTTTTTAGTGAATCAAAGTAACAGCTACTGTTGCAAGTGCTTATTTATATCGTACAAGTTAAGAGTACGCAGTAATTAACTGGGGTCTAGTTTGTTCACTAGATCAGTATAAAACAACCTATCCTCTCGATTTTCTTGATCAATAACATCAGTTGCAACTTTTTTTAGATGGCATCCCAAGCCTGCCAGAGAATGGATGGGGTACCGGGGAGGGATTCATTCAATACACATAGTGTATTAGTGCAACCAATTGTCAAGACAGACTGTACAATTGACACACAGACGTTCACGATAGGTCATTCATTTCCATCTAGGTTGTGAACCTGATTATTTATGTTTTACAAGTAACCAATAATATGATTTTCTGTTCACCCACGATGAACCATATTATCCAAATGTAAGCTACCAGAACGTAGATTGTTTAACTAAACATGATTCTCATTCAAACGGTAATAGTATCAACAAAAGGCTGAGTGTTTGGTATATACATTAACAGGATTGTAGTTGAAATCAACGTCGATAATCATATAGGCGAGTTCAAATATATCCCTCATTTTTATGTTCTATAAACTTCTATGTAACTATGAGAAAGATCTTCGACATAATGTTAATGTAAATATTCTCCCAAAAAGTTTCTTTTAGTTCAAAACGATCACTATGTAGAATGAGAACAACTGATTGTCGAGATTCGCAAATATAACAAGTTCCTAACCGTCAGATTAAAGAAGAATTTAGTGGATACATTGTACGAGGACAATGCAGATCACGAAGTTGTTACGTCGACAAGACGTTAAGGCTGACTAAATCTGACAAGAATCAAGAGATATGAATTTCAAAATTTTAATTCAAGACCGCAAAGGGAGGTCGAAAACATCGCTGCAAATTGAAGGAAGTGCGAGCATCCTTGTAAAAAAATAAAAGTTGTAACTCACCGAGCAAAGTAAAAAAAAATATATATACTTTTAGATCGATTTATCCTAACCCGATCAGAGTGGGGGGCGACCAGATGATATGAGATAGCACATTAGGTCGAATAAACCCGATAAACCAGCCAGCTGTACTGGGCGAACTGATTGGTCGAACAGAAGCACAATATAGGTCGAACAGAGGTCGAACAAGGAGTCTCAGGTCGATGAGGACGTCACGGGTTGACAGGTCGAGCTAGGGGCCTCAGATGACCTGGTTGAAACTCGACTTGAAGACATGACTGGTCGATGGATCGACCAGTTGAACGACACACACGAACTCAGCCTACGCAACAGTCTACCTCGAGGTGATTTTGGTCAGTAGCACAATTAGACTCTTTAATAAGGCGGACTAATGGCTAAGAAGGAATATTATCAAGATAAGGACCATACGAGAATAGGGCCATCCGACCTTCAGAAATCAGACAGTTCGGGCAATCTAGGAAGCTCATCAATGCATTCTTGGGCAACAAGGAACACATCCCTATACAAAAGTAGTGAGTTATGCCCATAACAACATTACATTTTCTAGGTACTTTACATACTTGTAGATCTTTCATGCATTGTTCATCATCTTTTTCACGATCTAACTTAAGCATCAGAAGATCTACGCTAAAAAACCCCCGACACAATGTTTGTGTAGGTATCGAAGGTCATATACCGGTGAAGAAGTCAATTCAGGTCGAACCGAGCTTGTTCGAGGTCTTTTACATACCATGCATGCACATGTCATTTTTCTATCGTCATGCTGGAATTCAAGTTCTTCACCAAATCAAATTGACTGTTAAACAAGTCTTGTGCGGCTTACTTGACTGTTTTTGATGATATAATGAATTTCAACAAGTCTTGTGCGGCTCACTTGACTGTTTCCGGTGATATAATAAATTTCCGGCGAGTCGACGACCTTTTAGTAATCTTTTTATAAACTTAAGTGACGAAAATCAAAACAATTATTCGAAAGGGCCGGATTTATGGGCTATATGATACATACACGAGGGAAAATTCAATTTCCTCTAATTTTATATTGATAATTGATTTTTTAGTCTTAGATTAACCTAACATCATGTATTAAATTATTACCACTAAATGAGAGGATCTAAAAAATGGACATAGATATAATCAATTATAATCAAGGGTGGGGTGTTAATCAATTATAATCAAGGGTGGAGTACACCCAAATCAGAACGCCCTTTGTGCTGTTGTTACCCCAAGTTATGGAGTAAAACATCTCCTTTAGTATAGTATATATATAGATAGAAAAATGCTACACGTACATAATAAATATACATAAAGATGTACATAACACTCACATGAAGTGGGGTCCACTTGATTTTTTAAATTTAGTGGGTCCCACTCAATTCGAGTGTTATGTACACCTCTATGTACAACATTATGTACCTATAACATTACTCAAATACATATATCGAGACAGGCATGGATAGATGTTAACAAATGGATGGACACTAGCAATTTTTACAACCATATAGCCAACCAAACATTATTTAGGACGATCCAAAATCCAGAATACAAACCAAACCAAGCATCATTCAGAACTTGACATCCAAGACTTCAAATCTATATACCAACCTATATCAACATTCCACCACATTTCCACCAAAAAAAACCCAGTACGACATCCCATCAAAGCCTCACAAAATCACTATACTCCCAAAGGAAAAAAACGGAAAGATGAAAGAAAACGAGCCAGCATAAAAAAATCTGCGATGTACTCAATCCACGTGAACGAGGGTGTTAACGTATGGAAAAAACCGGGTACTTTCCGTGAACTCAGCCCACCACCACCTCCCCACCTCCTTAATCCTCTTGTCCTCCAGCCCGCAACAGTACACCAAACCTCCAACCACTACCATCACCTTCCCCTCCTCACAGTAAGGCAGCACCCCACAATAACACCCCCCAACACCACCCACCTCTTGGAACAACTCGACCCTCTTCCTCAGGCCCATCTCCACTCCGTAATACATCTCCACAGCATAATCAGACTCAGAGATCCCAACGTAGGCGAGCTGTCCACGGATCTCCACCAGGGCCCCACGGGCCGGGCTCCCACGAGGAAGGGTCACAACCCCACACACTTCCGTCTTTGGGTCGAAAGCCACCACCTTCCCTCCAGTCGTCTTCCAGAAGGCCATCCCATTCATGTAGAGCCCGTGGCCCGAGA